ATCTTGAGATGAGTTCTGATCGTTTATTTAGCAGTTTGTGTTGGTCTGGGAAGAGAATTATAGCTACTTATTCCTCCAAGCAGAGTTTATAGGTTTGGGATTTTTCATGATATTTTTGTAATTTGTTTTTAATGTTTTTAGAAAGCATTGTGCTGTTCGCGTATTTGCTATTTGTAAAGGAGTGTAGTGAACTTAAACATAGTAGCAGCCTTAAAATAAACTTTATCAGCAGCAGCTCTCGAATATAAAACACGTGAACCCTAATGCAACTCTCTCTCTCTCTTTCTCTTACGGGTTTTTCCTCTTTCGAATTGGTGTCACACTTTCCACACTGAAGCTAAAAGTACTGTGAATGCTTCACACACAAAACACACGAATAAAGTAAGCCTCACTCAAACATATTGATAATCATTTCGTTTTCTATACAAATTATATCTAACAAAAGAAATTTGTTTTAAACTTTCCTTTTGTTAATTTTGTGCATATACTGTTTTTCACCACCATTGTTTAATATAATACAAAATGTTCCCGTAAGAAACCTTACGCATTTAATTATTGAAATAGCTAATCACTAAAGGATGTTTTGTGTGTGTAGTTTCTTTATTTCCAGGGTTCTTCAGTTACTCCTATGTATATTTTTGCTGTTATCTACTGATTTTATGTGTTTGCGCGCGCGCGCGCGTGTGTGTGTGTGTGTATTTAAAATTTGAAATATTTAGGTAGTGGAAATATTGAATATCGTAGATAAAGCATTTAGAGATATAGACAATGTAGACATAAGAATCAACACTCAAGGATGACTATCAGTTTCACGCTTCAATGCGATCTTCTGACCAAGAGACCAATTTGTTCTGAAGATTGTCCTGAACAATGAAACTGACAGTCGCCAGGTAGTGTTGATTCTTTGTCCACAATATCGATCTATCTCTGTGTGTATGTTTTCAGTGAATATGAGAGTTCGTTGGTATGTATTTTCGGACACAAATATAAAAAAAGACAATCATCCATGGACACAGTGGTTGGCATTTGTCGACAGTTGAAATCGAAAAAAGGCAATCAGTGCAAAAAGTTCATTAATATTGATGAAACCTCCTAATGGGGGAACAGCAGACATCTGGCCAGTTGAACAAATTGATTAGTGGAAGTCGCTCTGGAATTTGTTCCCTATCATGAGAGGATTGAAGAGAAGGAAGGAAGGAAGGAATACAGGGAAAAAGGAATGAAAAATTCAAAGAAAGAAAAAAGAAAGAAAAAAGAAAGAAAATGGAAACAAGGAAAATAGTAGGAAATAAAGTAAAATGTAAAATGGTGAAAAGAAGGAAAGTAACTAAAATTATTAAAATAAGAAGGAAGGTAATAAAGGTAGAAACAAAAATGAATTGAATGAAATAATCTTGAAAAGAAAGAAAAGAAAAAGAATGAAAGAAAAGTTGAAAGTGAATGAAATCGGGTGAAGAAAGAAAGAAAGAAAGATGGGAAGGACAGTAGAAACAAATAGAAGTTGAATGAAATCGGGTGAAGAAAGGAAGAAGGTAGAAACCAAAAGAAAGAAAGAAAGAAAGAAAGAAAGATGAGAAAAAAAAGAAAGAAAGAAAGAAAGAAAGAAAGAAAGAAAGAAAGAAAGAAAGATGGGAAAGACAGTAGAAACAAATAGAAGTTGAATGAAATCGGGTGAAGAAAGGAAGAAGGTAGAAACCAAAAGAAAGAAAAAAAAGAAAGAAAGAAAGAAAGAAAGAAAGATGAGAAAAAAAAAGAAAGAAAGAAAGAAAGAAAGAAAGAAAGAAAGAAAGAAAGATGGGAAAGACAGTAGAAACAAATAGAAGTTGAATGAAATCGGGTGAAGAAAGGAAGAAGGTAGAAACCAAAAGAAAGAAAGAAAGAAAGAAAGAAAGAAAGAAAGAAAGATGAGAAAAAAAGAAAGAAAGAAAGAAAGAAAGATGGGAAAGACAGTAGAAACAAATAGAAGTTGAATGAAATCGGGTGAAGAAAGGAAGACGGTAGAAACCAAAAGAAAGAAAGAAAGAAAGAAAGAAAGAAATATAAGAAAAAAAAAGAAAGAAAGAAAGAAAGAAAGAAAGAAAGAAAGAAAGAAAGATGGGAAAGACAGTAGAAACAAATAGAAGTTGAATGAAATCGGGTGAAGAAAGGAAGAAGGTAGTAACCAAAAGAAAGAAAGAAAGAAAGAAAGAAAGATGAGAAAAAACTGAAAGAAAGAAAGAAAGAATGAAAGAAAGAAAGATGGGAAAGAAAGTAGTAATCAAAGAAAGTCGAGGAAATCGGTTGAAGAAAGAAAAAAAAGAAGGTAGAAAACGAAATAAAGAAAGAAAGAAAGAAAGAAGAGAAAGAAAGTAGAAACAGAACGAAGGTGAATGAGATCGGACGAATAAAGGAAGTTAGTAACCAAAAGAAAGAAAAGAATTAATGAATGAAAGAAAGAACGAACGAAAGAAAGAAAAAAGGGGGAAGAAAGTAGAAACAGAACGAAGGTGAATGAAATCGGGCGAAGAAAGGAAGAAGGTTGTAACCAAAAGAAAGAAAGAAAGAAAGAAAGAAAGAAAGAAAGAAAGAAAGAAAGAAAGATGAGAAAAAAGAAAGAAAGAAAGAAAGATGAGAAAGAAAGAAAGAAAGAAAGAAAGAAAGAAAGAAAGAAAGAAAGAAAGAAAGAAAGAAGGGGAAAGAAAGTAGAAACAGAAAGAAGGTGAATGAAATCGGGCGAAGAAAGGAAGAAGGTTGTAACCAAAAGAAAGAAAGATGAGAAAAAAAGAAAGAAAGAAAGAAAGATGAGAAAGAAAGAAAGAAAGAAAGAAAAAAGGGGAAAGAAAGTAGAAACAGAAAGAAGGTGAATGAAATCGGGCGAAGAAAGGAAGAAGGTTGTTACCAAAAGAAAGAAAGAAAGAAAGAAAGAAAGAAAGAAAGAAAGAAAGAAAGAAAGAATGAAAGAATGAAAGTAGACCCCTCACAAAAAATGATTTAAATCGGCCAAAGAAAAAATAAAATTAATTTTTAAAAGACCAGAAATAATAGCAAAGCCGAACTTTTTTAAACATTTACTTCTTTCTTCTGTAATAACCGACGAATACATTTTCTTTTTATGTTAATTATTTTTGTATATTCTCTTTTTATGATCTTCTAAATATGCGCTGCAATGATTGTACATTTCAAGACACAACGTCCAACTCCTGTTATCAAAGTCAGAATTGTCTTTTACTATTTTGGTACCCAGTTACTTCTACCTCTAGACTGTCGGACATATTGATCTTATCGAAAGATTTTTCACCTTACTTCCGGTGTTAAGGTGCCAAGTGTTGTTTTTTGCTTCACATGGAAAGACAACTAGAAATTGTAAAGAAATTCAGGTGGATATTAGTTTATTCCGTTACCGAATGCGATTACTTCAGCTGCCTATTGGTGTGGATTCGTGTGCAAAGGAACAGGGTAGGGGGAAGTGTGTGAAAGTGTTCAGTACTTCACTAAATCAAATGCTGGGGCTAGAAGTGTTTATTGATTAAATACGTCCATCTTACGTCTCGAACGCGAGCAGCTATTGCGTTTTTTTTTTTGTTTATTATTATTATTATTATTATTATTAAAAATATGTGTCTATGTGTGTGTTAGGATAAAAATTGATCAGTGTCGCTGCGTCGCTGTGAATTAAAAAGTATGAACCATAGAGGCGTACATTCATGGAAAATCAACCCATTAAAAAGAACCTTGAAATATTTTTTTTTAACTAAGTACCTCAAAAAAAAAAAAAAAAAAAAAAACGATACCTAAAACGTATTTTTAAAAATGAAAAATCTTTCTTGAAGCTTTTATTTTAGTTTTAATTTCAAACTAGTAGATTAAATTTAATATTTGCAATATGCAAAATACTTTGATGTATTTTCAAAAACCAATTTAAATTGACTGGAAGAAGTTTATTTATTTTTTTATGCTAAAATTCGACCTTTTTCAGTCGTCTTTCAGCATAATGTAATTAAAGAATCTTTCAAAAATGAAATATACTTTTCTGAACTCTTATTTGAGAAATATTAACTGATTTAAAGTATAATTAATCCGATTGGAAACAAATATTATTTATTATTATTTATCAATTTTATTTATTAAATGTAAATATTAAATTTATTATTATTTATTATTTATTAATATAAATAATATTAATACTAATTAATATTTCTTATATCGCAGAAATGCATTTTTAACTCGAGAGTAGCTCTGCTTTTAACCCGACTGTAGCTGTTTTGATGTATTGACAGTCTGATGACAGGCCTAATGTTGTTCTACGGAGACTTTATGTAAAACATAAAGAAAATGATGTGGGCACTTTTTTTTATATAATTCTTAAGTATTCAGTAATGTTAAAATTTAGGGAAATATTCTCTATAATCAAAGGTTTTAGTAAATTTTAGAAATGTTGACTTTAAATTAATTATAGTTAGCGTTCTTATTTCTGATAATATCATGTATGGACGTCTGTGCTTACAAAAATAGGCACGTTTATACACATAAAAAAATTCAAAATTCTTTGTAAAATATTGGTGTTTGATGATTTGTATTAAGCTTATGCATTTATGATTAGTAAATATAGTTTTCACTTAATAATATTATCTAAAAGGCTGAATTTAACACAGAATTTTAAAAGATTTAAAAATGAATACAAGACGTATAAGACGTACCCTAATTTCAGCCGGGCAAATCAAGAAAAAATTAATAATTAATAAAATTAGTAAACCTACATATGGCATATAAGACGCAGGGGGATTTTAAAAGATATTTTTAGTAAAAAAAAAGTGTGCCTTATATGCCGTCAAATACAGTAAATAATGTCTTAGTTTTATTGCATATTTATTTTAAACGCAGATCAGATTTTCGGTAAATTGTTTTTCTGTTTGACAAAAAAAAAAAAATTGATGATTTAAATTCTCCAAATAGTCTTGCTTTTAACTAATATAGATACGAATAACTACTTGCATCTTAGTGGCTTTGTTGCTTTTCCTGGCTTACGGCCATATCACGTTGAAACACCGATCCCCGTACGATCACCGAAGTTAAGCAATGTCGAGCCTGATCAGTATCTAGATGAATGACCGCTTAGAAATACCAAGTGCTTTAAGCTGGGATGTGCGGATGGTGCAATAGATAATGGGTCGAAATTGTTAATCGGGGAGTCGTGATCCAATTACCATTGGGTTCGTTATATTCACTTAGGCGTAAATAGAAAAGGAAAGGTCTAGCTCTTCTCTCCCAGTTATGGGTTAATTAGTAATTTTGTTATTTTTAACACTTCCAAAACTAAACACCTCTCCATTAATCATCTGAGAGATCCCCTTCTGCCTTCCATCAGCATCGCTGATGCTAACCTCCAGGAGAGTGACACGTTACGCCTACCCGGGCTAACGTTCTCGGCTGACATGAAGTGTGTTGTAACCTAGGGAAAGTTACTAAATAGAATAATCACACAAAGGTTGGTAATGAACGAAAATACTTAGGACAAGAACAACACATATAAGATTCGCCAGCGGCGCGTAGTAGAAGTAGTCAACTGCTAGAAGTGGGTCAAGTGAATTCCACAATAAATCTCCAACTGCAGGATATCTACCAACCGTCCCACGCGTTCAGATGTGGCACAAGGCCGGATTTAATGTGGGGTTTCCGAGCCCGTTGGCTCGGCCTAAAATTCCCCGTAGACCCCGTATAAAACGAGGTCAGGTAGCTGTTTTCCAAGACGAGACTTTGTCCTTCGTCATAGCCTCGCTTGGGGATCCTCTATACCCAGAGGCAGAGAGTTTGACCAGCACAGCTGGAGACGAATCTCCAACTGCATGATATCTACCAACCGCCCCACGCGGTAAAATGAGGCACAAGGCCGGTTTAATGTGGAGTACTGAGCCTGTAGGTTAGGCCAAAAATTCCCCGTTGACCCCGTATAAAACGGTGTCGGGTAGCTGTTTCCCGAGACGAGACACTGCCCTTCGACATAGCCTCGTCTGGGGATCCTCTCTGGCTCCAGGCTGAGAGTTTGAACAGCACAGCTTGAGATGAATCTCCAACTGTAGACCAACATACTGCATTTATGTGAATGGGGACATGTCCATTATCGTCTCTAGGTATGCTACAACAAAGTGGTAAGATTATATTTAATTTATTGCTAGGTCTGCTACTAAGAAATTTGGTTCACTGTGTTGTGCTAGACAATTTTTCTCCTCTGAATCAGTCTTATATATTTATGAATCTACCATTTGTCCATGCTTTGAATATTGCTGCCGCATATAGTCCTGTGACCCTGCTATATATTTAGAGATGCTTGATAAAATCCAAAAAAAGAATCGGCAATATTCTTGGCTTCAGTTACTTTCCCTCCGCTGTAATTTAGTTTCCCTGTGTCTTTTCTGTAAATATTTTCATGGTAACTATTCTATGAACTATTGTACCCAGACTTTATGAGTTTAAACGCAGTACTAGACTGGCGTCGAGATCTCATCATTTTACAATTGAGCTGGGTAGATGTAATCATACATTCTATGCTAACAACTTATTTCGCCGCACTTCTCGCGTGTGGAACTCTCTTCCGGCTCTATGTTTTCCAGCCAACTATAATCTCGAAAAATTTTAAATGCAATGTCAATTGCCATCTACTGTCCTCCTATTTACTCTTTTCTTTTCCGGCTCATTATTAATGTTCTGTTCCTAATTCACTGTGTTGTGCGAGACGATTTTTCGTTCCAGAATCTATCTGTAAGTCTGCCATTTGCCCATGCTTAGAATATTGCTGCCACATATGGTTCAGTGCCCTTTCTATTTACCTTGTGCTCCTTGATAAAATCCAAAGAAAAATCAGCAATATTATAGGTCATAATCTGGCAGCTCAGATTCAGTCACTTTCTCTCTGCCGTAAGTTTTATCTATAAATAATTTCATGGTAATTGTTCAGATGAACTTTCAGCTATCGTACCTAGACTTTATGAATTTAAGCGCAGTACCAGACTGGCATCGAGATCCCATCATTTCACAGTTGAATTTGTTATATGTAACCGTAAGTTCTATGCTAACAGTTTCTTTTCTCGCACTTCTCACTTATGTAACTCACTTCCGGATCCGTGCTTTCAACACAAGATTGATCTTCAAAAATTTAAATGCAACGTCAATCGTTATCATTTAATAATTTCAAAGAATTACTCAACTCTAATCTTCTTCAAAGTAGGAATCTCTGATTTCAGTGCCGTGAAGCTCCCATGAAAGTCATCCAATGTGAAGGTGTCCAGGACCTTTGTCATAGCTTCCTTCATCTTCTCAAGTTTTTCAAAACAACTGCCTCTGAGTTTCTCCTCAGCTTGAAGAGAAACCATCTCTTTCCTTCCGGGTAGCCTGGAGATAAACTTTTCACGAATTTTGCGCATGTTCAGATCTTCATGAATAATTATGTGTACAATTGCAACACCAACTTCAAACCTTGATCTTATTGTATTTATAGATACACGACATTTTTTATTCCGGAAATTGCGCATTTTCGCAACCGGTTCTGAGTTCTGTAGCTCCCCTCCCACCCACATCTCTTAATGTCCTTCAACTCCCCTCTACCGTCCTTGAACAACTTGTGCCAATTAAAAAAACAAAAATCAAAAACAGATGCTTGGTTCATACAAGTCATCCTTAAGCAGTCTGGAGCATTCCATAGCTTTCTGTAGCGTTTTTGTTCAGTTTAACACAAAACTTTATTGCATAGCGACCTACGAAATTGTATTCACATCCTGACTGCATTCTGAAAACTAGTCACCTGTGACAAACAGTGTTTAGTAGAGTGTGTCCAAAGAATTGTGATACCTGTCTCGTTCAATCTAGAATAACAAAAGCTGGCAGGTCATCTTATTGGGTGTATATAGTAATGATGTTCTAGAATTACAATAATCTAAAAAAGTGAGAACTCCCACTCCTAAAAAAACGTCTTGAGACTTCTGGATTGGATGACGAACATTAAAATAATCAGTCATTATATAATAAACTTTAAAAGTCTGCTGTTTGTAACAATTTTGAAAGAACTGCCCAAATGTAGTGATTTTCCAAGCGTAGCTTAGATGTGGCACAAAGCCGAAAAGTATGGGGCATCCAGTGAGGATCGAACTCACCACTCAGTCGTAATTGATCTAGCGAGACAAGCTTGCTAAACATTACATCGCGTCGAGGCACCCAAACTGTCCAAATGTATCAAATTAATTATTATGCATGTGAGACAGATAGAAAGGAAGATAAATGGAAGATAAAAAGGAAAGAGACAGAAATTGGCTATGTCTCTGGATTAAATTTTTCTTATCACACGTTTTTATTCAAACGAAAACATTTTGATAAAAAAAGAAATTGATAATATGAGGAACAAAAAAATACCCAACTTGAAAGAGGACGTCTTGTTTTTTATTTTCATTTTTATTTATTTATTTATTTTGTGAAGGTATAGTTATCTTTTAAAATTTAACTTAAAAAAAATGACTAAAAGCGGCTCCGTGTCGGGAAGATGGCCAACGAACGAAAAGCCTCGCTTAAAAAATAATGTCAACAGTCGCCATGACCTCTGTAATGTTTCAATTGTAGTCTCAGCGTAGTTTTTTTAGTTTTTTTTATTGTCAATCCTTTTTGTGTTTTTAAAAAAATAATTTACCTTGAACCAACACACAACTATTGTCAAATTGATTGACTAGTAAAAACCTTGAGGTATTTTTTTAAATCAGTTTTTCACCAAACGATAGCATAATATAGTTTCTGGCGTCCTTTCTTTCTTTACTTTTTCTTTCTGCACTTTGTTTTGCTTCTTCTTTCTTTCTTTCTTTCTTTCTTTCTTTTTTTTTTCTTTCTTTCTTTTTCTTCTTTCTGCTTTTTGTTTTGCTTCTTTCTTTCTTTCTTTCTTTTAGCTTTTGGTTTTGCTTCTTCTTTCTTTCTTTCTTTTTCTTCTTTCTGCTTTTTGTTTTGCTTCTTTCTTTTCTTCTTTCTTTTAGCTCTTGGTCTTGCTTCTTCTTTCTTTTTTTCTTTTTCTTTCTTTCTTTTTCTTCTTTCTGCTTTTTTTTTCTTCTTTCTTTCTTTCTTTTAGCTTTTGGTTTTGCTTCTTCTTTCTTTCTTTTCTTTTTCTTTTTTCTGCTTTTTGTTTTGCTTCTTTCTTTTCTTCTTTCTTTTAGCTCTTGGTCTTGCTTCTTCTTTCTTTTTTTCTTTTTCTTTCTTTCTTTTTCTTCTTTCTGCTTTTTTTTTTTCTTCTTTCTTTCTTTCTTGTCTTGGTTTTAGTTCTTTCTTTCTTTTTCTTCTTCTAACTCTTGGTTTTGCCTCTTTCTTTCTTTCTTTCTTTCTGTTTTTCGTTTTGGTTCTTTTTTTTTTCTTTTTGCATTTGGGTTTTCTTTCTTTCTTTTTTACTTTATTTCAACTCTTGGTTTTGCTTCTTTCTTTCTTACTTTCTTCTTTCTGCTCTTGGTTTTACATCTTCTTTCTTTCTTTCTTTCTTTCTTTCTTTCTTTCTTTCTTTCTTTCTTTCTGTTCTAGAGTGTGAATAAAACCATACTCGCCCAGGAGCAATGCATGTTTATTGGAGAGGGCTTACAAAAAAGTTACATATGATTATCTTTAGCTATAAGGTCGACAGATAAACAAAAACATGCCCACCCAAGAACGATTTATGATAAGCTTTAAGTATAAAGGAGTGTATAGAATAGTGACTAAAAAACAAAACTCCTTCCCTAAGGGCGATATATCATTATCTTATGATATATATATATATATATATATATGAAGTGACAAAAAACAAATGACTCACTCAAAATTTTTATTATTATCTGCTGGTATATTGAAAATGTCAAATGAAATGCTGCTTTATGAGGAGCAATGTTCAGGTATATCTTGAAGACACAGGCGATCATGGCTCTCCACAACTTCTTATCCCTTGTGGCCCTTAACAGTTTTTCTCACTTGGCTAAGTCTCTCTCCCCTAGTTCCGTCATCCATTCACTCAATGTCCTCAGTTAAGTGGCTCGCTCCCCATTTCTCTTGACCTCAATATGCTCTGTTAGTATTAGGTTTTACAAGCCCTTCTTCTTCATTATGCGTCCAAGGATTTTCAGCTGTTTTTATTCCTGATTCTGAGTATAAGTGTCCATCCTGTTGTCATTTTCTCTAAGACTTCCTTGTTGCTTACTCATTTCGCCTATGGGATTCTCAATATCCTTCTGTAGAAACCACATTTCCATTGATCCCAGTTTTCTCCTCATCTGTGAGGGACCAACGCTCACTGATCGATTTAGGATGATCTTCAGGTGCATAGGATCATGGCTACCAAAAGCCGACCGGGAAAGAGCGACATGTCGTCATATTGAGATACATTAAATACATTAGGGTTATATAGGAATGAAGTGTCGCTGCTGACACTTGAGTTTGAACATAGATCGCCAGTGAGCAAACACAGGCGACCCCATTATTGAATTAAGTAGACTATGTGACCATAGAGGAAATCTAGATATGTAGGAAGTAGCTGACGAGTAACGATCTGTATTTCTAGTTTATTTGAATTAAATTAAATTAAATTGAATTAAAGTACCAAGCTCTATTCCATCTTCAAGCGAAATTTTTTTGGGAATAACTAATTCTTGAAATTTACGCGTTTTATAAGCATATTCATTATTAAAATTAAAATTGGTACTTTAATTCAATTTAATTCAAATGATTATATTGAAGTTTTCGGCTCTTGTTTTGAAACATGAGAACTCTTATGTAGCGTTGGAATCATATTTTTAAATAAATAATTATATTTAGGCTCTACTTTTGTATCGAGCACTGTTTTTTAAAAATAACAAAAATACTAAAGAACTTTGGATTATTTACCTAACGAGTTCTTTCCTATTTTCTATATATTTTCACACACACACACACACACATGTATATATATATGTATGTGTGTGTGTGTGTGTGTGTGTGTGTGTGTGTGTGTGTGTGTGTAAGTGCATCCCTATGCTCTTTATCGCAACCTAAAAGCGAAGACTTTATTAACTAATGAAGTGTCCGAGTGAGACTTTTATTGTTAAGCCATGGTTTTGAGCCTATTCATGGCGATATTGTGTCGGGCTCAGAGTATAAAAAAATCAAAAAAGATTGAGAAGGGAAACTCATCGGTTAAATTATTTTCCACCAATCAAGAAAACGGAATTTGAAACCCGCGAAGATTTGAAAAGATACTATGCCTGCCGATCTAAATATAAAAGAGTTTGGCGGCTAGTGAACATTACCATTTATTCACGTCTGGTCATTGGATAATCAGAACATGGGGCAAAGCTCATCAATTAACATTTTTATGTGAAAGCGACAACGCTAAAAAACGAAGCACCACATGACTCCAGACAAACATAATCGAAATTTAAAACTGGCAATTTCTTCCTTTAAAATATCGCCAAACAGACGCGGACCAAGCCTTCCTTGCAGTCACATTTACTGCTACCACAATTCTTCATTCAGCACTCGTCAGTAACAATAGACAATTACGATTCACTTCTCGACTCCTGACAGTTCGGAACATTAACAATAACGTGCGGATTTTCCCTGTAATCTTTTGCCAAGGGCTGATCAGTTACACGATGTCAAATTGGCAGCTGATCTCAAAACTGACCTAAAATTCCTTGCTAACAGGGGCAAGGAATGACTTCTTAATTTTAACGCCACACAAAACAAAACTGGTTTCTATTAACCTTCTGAGGGGCCCCTTTCTGTCATGCATCAGCCTAACGTTCTCTGCTGACATGAAGTGAAAATATTATATTAAATCAATTGCTAGGTCTGCTGATACGAAAGTTGGTTCACTGTGTCAGGTTAGACAATTTTTCTCGTCGAAATCTATCTTACATATTTATAAGTCTACCATTCGTCCATTCTTCGAATATTGCTGTTACATGAGGCATGATACTCCTGTTGTATATTTAGAGATTCTTGATAAAATCAAAAGAAGAATTTACATTCTAACGAAGAATTTACATTCTAATGTCCCGGCTTCAGTCCCTTTCTCACTGTTATAATGTAGCTTCCCTGTGCTTTTTCTATAAATACTTTCATGATAATTGTACCGATGAACTTTCCTCTATGGTACCTAGACTTTATGAATCCAATCGCAGTACTAGATTGGCAACAAGGTCTCGTCATTTTACTGTTTAATTGGCTAGATGTAACCGCAAGTTCTATGCTAACAGTTTCTTTTCTCGTACTTCTCGCTTGTGTAATTATCTTCCAGCTTTTTGCTTTCCACCCAATTTTGATCTGAAAAATTGTAAATGCAATGCCCCTCGTTGTCTTCTGTTTTATTGATTCCACTTCTTTTATTGTTCTCTCTCATTAATGATTTTTTTTCTTTTTCTTATTCTTTCACACACACTGTAATCCCTTCTGCCTTAGTTGCTTTATTGCCTTGCTTGGAATAAAATAATTAAAAAATCATAATGCATTATCAGAATATAAAAACCAGGTGTTTGAGCAATCAGAACTTTGATGATATTCATGGGATTTCTACGGGTGTCATTCAGAATTAATTTTAACATTACGAAAAATTTGGCTATAAATAGTATTTTTTTTAAAAAAGAAAATACTCAAATGTGGCGCCTAGCAGTAAAAATTACAAAACTTTACAACATTAACTAAGAAAATAGTATAAGATAAAATAGTATAAGATCGTATAAGATATAGTATAAAATATAGTATAAGATGGTATAAATATAGTTTAAAATATAGTATAAGGGTATAAATATAGTATAAAATATAGTATAAGGGTATAAATATAGTATAAAATATAGTATAAATCGTATAAGAGTTGTGGGATATAAATGAAATCGGAGAAGCTAAGAAATAAATATTATGAGGATAAGGAGGATAGATAATGATTGGATAGTTACATTATTTTTGCTTGAACTATTGATTGGCACTATCTTTGTTGTTATTATTAGAACGTTTTGGCCGTTGCAAGAAAGAAAGAAAGACGTCCGAACGTTTATAAAAAGTTAATTTCATCATAGCATTTAATGTAATTTGTAGGAAGACAGATTGGAGAATTCTTTCGTAGAAAAATTATTTGAGTCCATTGTAACGAATCGGAAGAACTCTAATTTGAAGCGAAACGAAACGAAACTAAGAGAGAAAGAAAGAAGCAAAATTAGAAAGAAAGACCCGAGAGAAAGAGAGAAAGAGAGAAAGAAAGAAAGAACCGAAACAAAAACGAAAGAAAGAACTAAAATGAAGAAAGAAAGAAAGAAAGCAAGAAGAGAGAGCGAGAAACGGGAAACAAAGAAAGAAACGAAAAGAAACTAAGAAAGAAAAAAGAAAAAAAGAAAGAAAGAAAGAAAAAGAACCGAGAGAAAGAAAGATAGATAGAAATATAGAACCGAAATGAAGAAAGAAATAAATAATCGAAACGAGGAAAGAAAGTACCGAAAAGAAGAAAGAAAGGAAGAAAGAGAGAGAGGGGAAAGAGATGAAAGAAAGAAAGAACCGAAACGAAGAAAGAAAAGAAAGCGCGAAAACAAGAAAGAAAGAAAGAAAGAAAGAAAGAAAGAAAGAAAGAAAGAAAGAAAGACTAAGGAGAACAGAAAATACAGAGGGGGATTAAGAGAGAGAACATCAGGTAAAAACTCAATGAAAATCGCCGAAAATATGACGAGCTTAAAGGCGTGGGTTAAGGAGACAAAACGGTTGTAAGTAAATGAGAGAGAAAAAAATGGAGAGAGAAATAGGGAAAATGAAGGGGGAGGGAAGAGATAGAGGAAAAAGAGAACGATGAATATAGTTGAGGAAGAAAACCGGATGGAGAGAGATGGAGCAAAACATTTTAGAAAAAAAACGAGACAGAAATAGAAAGACTAAAGACGTGTCTAAAGAAAATAATAGGAAACGAAAGAGAGAGAAAGAAAGAGAGAGAAAGAAAGAGAGAGAAAGAAAGAGAGAGAAAGAAAGAGAATTAGATGAAGCAAAAGCAAAAGCAAATATAAAAGGGAGACGGGAACAGAGAAAAGTAGAGAAAAGACAGAAGGTAAGAAAGAGACGAAAAAGTAGGAGGAGTAGGAAGAGGAGGTGTAGGAAGAGGAGGAGGAGGAAGAGGAGAGAGAGATAGAGAAAGTTGGAAACGAAAGCTTACTCACCCGTGAATGATGTCTATTTGTGATCAGGTTTATAAATTTATTAATTTAGGGTGGAATATCCAATTTAGTTGAAAGAGGAACAAAAAAAAAGTTGATGAAGGGGAAAAATAAAAAGAGAAAAATGACAGAAAATGCGAGAAAGGAGAAGGAAAAGAAAAGAAAAGAAAAAAAAAGAGGAAAAAACGGAGAATGCGGGCGTGAAAAATAGAAAACGTGAGAGGATGTGAAAAGAAAGAGAGAAAAAGACAGAAGAGGAAGACGGGGTGGGGGAAGAAAAAGAGCAGCTAAAAGATTGAACATAACAGAGAAGAGAAAAGAAAAGAAAGAGAGAAAAAGAAAATAAGAGAAAACGGGAGAGGAAATGAAAAAGAGAATGGGCAAATTATGAAACGGAAGAAGAAGAGAAAAGAAACAAGAAAGGGAAGCCGGAGAAAAGACAAATGCGAAAAAGAAGTATAAAATAAGGGAAGAAAGAAACTGAGACAGAGAGAACAAAAGAAAGAAAGAAAGAAAAAAAAGAAAGAAAGAAAAAGAAAGAAAGAAGAAAGATAGAAAGAAAAAAAGAAAAAAGAAAGACAGAAAGAATCTCAACAACTTTTTTTTATTTTCAAACTAAATTAGATATTCCATTATAAATTAACGATTTATAAAACTGCTCATAACAATACATTCGCGGGTGAGTAAGCTTTCGTTGCCCGCACTCTCTTCCTCCTTCTCCTCCTCCTATTTTTCCTCCTTTTTCTTACCTTATGTCTTTTCTCTACTTTTCTCTTTCCCCTTCTTTCTTTTTCTTTTGCTTCGCCTCATTCACTTTCTTCCTCTCTCTTTAATTCCCTATTAATTTCTTTATTCACACTTTTAGTCTTTCTATTTATTCTTTATCTATTCAGAGACAAAAGAAGAGGAAAAAAGAAAAAAAAGAAAATAAAAAAGAGAAGCGGGAGAAAAGACAAAATCGGAAAAAAAAAGAAAAAAAATAGAAGAAAAGAAAAAAAAAAGAAAAGAAAAGGGTGGAAAATTAGAAAGATGGAGGCGAGGGTAAGGAAGAAATTGATCCTAAACAATTTTGTTTGTCTTTATTGATCCAAGAAAACTTCCTTGGCCGTTTAGCGACACGTCATCGCAATTAGGAAGCCTTTCTTCCCTCCTGTGCTTTATCGGCAGTAGGTTATGGTGGAGAGGGTAATTACGAATCAATGACAAGCCCGGTTCATTTCATTGGAATTAAAGATGCATTCCGTTCTCGGAGCAGCGTTACCTTGAAAACGTGCAAAAAATCACCGACTGACCTAATTTGATCTTTTTTTTTTTTTAATTATTGCATGACAAACTGGGTCAACTTGAGTTGAAAATGGCGGATCTTGAATATTATTGACAAAATTGTTCTGTAATAAAAATAAAAAAATAAAATAAGGTACTATTTTTATTTGATTTCGTCGAACCGCAGATTAATTCTTACGTTAGCTTTTGGAGAATTTCTGCGTTAAGAAGATGACGAGTCAGCGCAGAAAGAGGGCTTCCCTTGGGTCTTATGTTACACTGCACTAATATCTTTTTTCACTGCATTGCTCTTTTTTTCTCTTCCGTTCTCTCTACTCGTTTTGCATATAGCATCATCACGGCTTAGCTCCCTGAGCGAAGGTTTTTGCGGAGAGATAACATACTTTTACCGGTGTGGTCTACACAGGGAAGCTATATTTTCTCGTAACAACTCCAGGATAGGATTTGTCAGCCGGCAAGAGTGAAATCCTTACGGGATATATATTTTTCTTCTGCTCTTTTACTGCGATGCTCACGGTTACATCACGATGGAACACTGTACGATCACCGAAGTTAAACAACTTCGAGCATGGCCAGTACCTAGATGGGTGACTTCTTGGGAATAGCAGGGACTGCAAGCTTGGATGTGCGGGAGGTGTAATAGATAATGGCTCAAGGTTTTTAGTCGGAGAACAGAGTTTCAATTCCTGTTGGGTTCGTTATATTCCCTTACGCGCAAATACCCTTGGGAAAGGTATGTATCCCCTACTTCTCCCCCAGCTATGGGTTAAATAGTAAGACATATCACTAAACCATTATTATCTCCCCGACCACCAAAAAAGAACTCTTGCAATCTAAAATATTTTCTTGCTTTAAAATAAACTTCAAAGTCTTTGAAAACGAATCAGTATTTTGCCATGGTTTGTTTCAACGAAGCCTGACCCGGCTGGGCAGGCAAGTAGAAAATGAATATTCTGCGTATAAGCCTCAAGGAGATGTCCCCAAGGATTTAACTCCTAAATAAAGTATCCTCAAAGGAGAAATGTCGAGTGGATTTGAGCAACCCTCTTTAAACTCAGTTTTGTGTTACATTTGGGTGGGGCTGTCCAGACCTTACTGCCTAGCCTTGATAGAGTCCAAAAGCGTCTCCGAACCCTTGTGGGTGACGAATTATTCTCCACTCTCCAACCTCTCTCCTACTGGCGGTATGTAGCAAGCCTCCCGTTGCTCTGTTGCTACTTCCACGGAAAGTGCCCAGACGGACTACATTCCCTGGTCCCACTAATTCAAACTTTCCCGGCAAGGACCCGCCATGCCACTTACATAGTAGCAACCCCACCCACATTCCCTCCGTGTTCCATCGGTGAGAATTAAGTTCCACTCAAACAGCTTCTCCCTGCGAACCACTGCTCTGTGGAACCGACTCCCAACAAGATGTCTGCCTGATTACTATAATCTTAACCTGTTCAAGGCTAGGGTTAACCGTTATCTTCTACTCCTATCCGCATAAATTGCCTCTTAACGCAACCCTCTACCTCGAGTGACCGCGGGCCTTTTAACATTTCGCTCGATGTGGGCATGCAGCTAAATACCATTATGCTTCCTGTTGTTGTATTGGTCATTTTTCTTTCCTCCTAATGGACGAGGAATCCAGATATTGTGGAGTCCTTGTACCCTTTCAGTAGGAGTCCATGTCTCCGTCGGTTACTTGATAGTTGGAACTACTTAAATAGATTGGTCCACTTGTAAACAATAGGAAAAAAAAATCATATATCTTTGTAAATTATGCTTGATACTTTCCTTAGGCCGCGGCATTTTTTAAAAAAAATCATTTAACCCCAAGCAAGACAATCGATGTCATTTGAAAGAAATCCATTCAATGGAGTTGTCACGATGACGCCGTCAAACTTGGTGAGCCACGGCTGGCTAGCTTTGCCGTAATTGTTACTAACTGACGAAACAAAAAAGAGGGCATTATCGAAAGGATGCCTATTTATTTGTGCAATCAGTTACTAGTTGTAATTGACAGTACGGTCAATAAATTATCTTACAAGTGTTAAAAGGTCTGGCGCGCTAATAGTGGCCTTGTTGATTAGCGGAATTATCAGGAATTTCCAAACGGTGCATACAAAGATGGGGCCGTGGGAATATAGCGAACGTTCTCGTAGTTAACTATCATCTATAAGGAACGCTCCTTTTCTTGGTGTGTGTGGTGGGGCGTCTGGCTGGCAGCAGTAAGCACGGCACAAAGACCAATTTAAAATGATAGAAAAACATTTTATTTGGAAAATATATTAGAATAATCCAGAACGTACAGTGGGAGCAAACCACTTGGAAACGGACAAAAAAAGAATTACACAAAAATAAATTTATTTAACCTTTCCAGATTCTAAGAGAAGTAGAAGTCCTAACAGGATTTATTAATAGTAAGTTCAATCTTCACAACATATGATATGCAGCTGAAACAGTACTTAAGACAGACACAGAAATGAAACAGAAGGAATTTCTAGAAAGATAGTAAGGGAAAGCGAGAAGAAAGAATTAACTAACATCCATAAAGAGACAGAATAGTGATTTTCCAAGCATAGCTTAGATGTGGCACAAGGCCGAAATTAGGGGGCACCCAGTGAGAATCGAACTCACTACTCAGTCGTAATTGTTCTAGCGAAACAAGCTTGCTAATCATTACACCACTTCGAGGTGCCCCAGTGATTTTCCAAGCATAGCTGTGGCACAAGGCCGAAATTAGGCGGCACCCAGTGAGAATCGAACTCACTATTCAATCGTAATTGTTCGAGCGAGACAAGCTTGCTAACCATTACACCACTTCGAGGTGCCCAAAAGAGACAGAATATATGTTCTTGACTAAGTGGGGATAGCGGAAGATATGAGCCAAGAATTGGAGACGTCAACATCAAGTAAGTACAGAAATTTAAATATCTGGTCAGTGTTTTTAACAGATCAGGGTAAGTATGACACCGAAATCCGAAGCAGTATTGGAAGGTGCATTCGAAAAACCAAAAGTATCAAGAAGCAGGAAAGTTTTGTTAGAAATAAAGAAAAGATTGCCGAATAGCTATACAATATTCAATCAGTGGAGTTTCTGCAAACACGTCCCAATGCTATACGTTGGAAACTGGAAAGAGAGTTTGGTTCTGTGCTTTTCGGAACTGGGGTCATAAAATTGGGTAAATGACCAAAAAACCCTTTCCTGTTCCATTATTTCTAGGGAAAATGTATGTCTTCCTTTTTATTATTCTTTATTATTCTTTTATTTATAGACCTTATTTAATTTTCCCACAGATGCAAGCTACGAATTAATGTCGAAATAAAAACATACAAAAGTTTAAATTTCTGTTAAGTGTTTGAACTGATGAGGGAAAATGTGACACCGAAATCCGAAGCAGTAGTGGAATAGCAAAGGATGCATTCCAAAACCTAAAAGTATTAAGAAACAAGAAAGTTTTGTTAGAAAAAAAGAAAAGATTGCCGAACTAGAATGTAAATTTACTTAGGAGCAATCTTGTTTAAAGATGGTACCTGTAGCTCGTAAATCCACACACGGATTGCCGCAGCTATGGCAGCGATGGCCAAATTGGCAAGAATATGGAGGATCAAAACCAGCTTTCAAACGAAGTAGTGACTGTACAAATCCCTGGTAGTCTCCATTCTCTTAATGTCGATATGAAACGTTGACACTGTTGGCGGATATAGATACAAGGATGCAAGCGTTTGAAAACAAATACACGAGAAAACTCCTTGGCATCTTCTGTTGTGAACATAAAACAATGTGTTTGTGCGGAAAAGTGTTGAAAGTTTTGTGAGCCACCATGAAGCTCTTCTCGCCACTGAAAAAAAAAAAGAAGAAAAATAGAAAAAAATGGTATGGTTTGGACGCGTTACAAAGCACGGCAGCCATCATGCAAGGCACCGTTGAAGGTGAACGTTGGAGAGGACGCCAAGGTAAAAACTGGTTGGACAATGTCAAACAATGGACAAGTATGACTATACCAGAATTGCTGGTGGCTACCGTTGATGGACTGTATTAGAGGAGATTCAATATGGCTTCTACATTTGGTTCCCTCTACGATTACAAAAGTCAAGGGGCTGCTGCTGTTGCTACTGCTGCTGCTGCAGCTGCTGATGATGATGATGTAATATCAGTACTTCTATATGCCAGGGAATGTTGAACAATTGCCTCACAAAGAAAGAGAAGACCTGAGACACCAGAGACGTGGTACTACAGAAGGATGATGAGAATACCATTTCCGCAGCATGTGAACAACGAGGAAGTTTTAAGAAAAATAGAAACAAAAAGGACGGAAGAAAATTTCTTAGGCACATGATGAGGA